AAATCAAAAACATTATGTTACCGGCCCCTGTGAACTAAATGTATTCAATCAAAGTATTTATAAAAATTTTCATCGCCGATACTTTTTTTAGATTCTGTTTGTATAAAACCGTAACAAGGAGCACACGGGTGGATGTGACCGGTGGCAGGGGATGCTCAATTTTATAGGGCAATGATCCCACCTCATATTTCAGAGGTCCGTATTTATCTGCCCCGATTGGATTGTTTGAGTGGTTTTGAGATTATTTCCATATTTGTGTGGGTTTTGGGGTTCACCGTGGGAGGCAATTTATCTGTCTCGGGGTATAATTCCATAGAAAATACTGAAGGTAAGAAATCCATCACCAACGTACATCATGTTTAAATTTTTTTTTTAATTCAATTAACGTTTATCAGCATCTGCACGCATGTAGGAACATTTAGGAGTATATTGTTTTTGCCCATCCATTCGTCTGTCTGTTAAGCTTTTTTTCTGCTTGTCCTCAAAAACTTTAAAATTGCCAATAATTTTTGATTGGCTGAAGCTTGGCTTTCATATATTACATATGTTTTTTTTTGACAAGACCCTTTTTGGTACCACCAAATTTGACCTTTTGACCTTGGAGTTTGACCCACTTTTCAAATATTTACCAAACTGTAATCTTTGCCATACTTTCGGGATTGGTCTGGAGCTTTCATACTTCACATAACGATATCATGGATATTGTATTTTTTACATGGCCTTTCTGTAGATATACATTATAAAAATTTTTGACCTTTTAATCTTTCAGTTTTCACCCTTTTGAGAAGCCCGAGAAGCCTTATCCCGAGAAGCCTTGGGGCTTTGCAATACAATTTTACACGATAATGTCATATGGCATACGAACGATCCGATTTTGAGGTGAAAAGGTCAAAGGTCATAGGCCTCGGAACCAATTTGAAAGGGGTGCTAATTGAAAGTGGGGGGGGGGATAAACCAACAAAAAAGGTAACTCCCAATTTTAATGCCTATATAATGTGTATCTCCCCTGCCCCCGGTTCCGACGCCTATGAAGGTTAAGGTCATTAAAAAATCTGTCTAATTTACACTTTCGTGTCTGCGTGATATCTGGAGAAGCGTTTGAGCGTTTACAATCACTTTTAATACCACAACTCTCTATGGCCTAAGGAATTGGTTGGTTTTGAGGCCAAAGGTAGTTAAATCATATATTTTGTGAGTGTGTATGTTCTATGTAGGCGATATCTCAAGAAGCTTTTGAGATTTTTCGATTAAATTTTATACCATAACTTCCTATGCCCCTCCCGCCAATCTATAAGAGCCCCCACACACACCCTCGACCCTCCCGGTAGTTTTTCCCTTAGCGGGGGGCACAGATTCTCTGAATTAGCTTGTAACCTTTGTGTATAGCTGTGTCACAGGGGGCATCGTGCAGTGTTTCACAGATAAATCTTGTTTTATACAAAGAATGGGTTTGTTATCAACTTCCCCGGAATACGCTTTTCCTTTCTGTGGAATTGTAAAACACTGGAAAATCTTATCCATCGGTGAAGGGAAATTATGGTAACAAATCTGGCGACCCCACAAAGCTATGTCCTATCGCTTAATCCAAGAAATATCGGTATATACAACCGGAGGTAAGATATAGAAAACTGAGTTAATCTTAATTTGAATCGATCCCTCAAAAAAAAAAAAAAAAAAAAAGAGAGAGGGGGAGGGAGAGGGAATTAAACTGCTGTTCAATTTTCTTTTTATGTGTGTGTATACAATATTTACTTTGTAATAATTTAAAAATAAATAAAATTCTTTTTCAGCATCCACAATTCAACAAATCCCTCCAATGAATCCCACCACAAGTCCAGATATAGTTCACTTTTACACGGGTGATGTCATGGGATGGTAAGAAACTATTTAACACATAATCAAAGATTCAGGGTATGTGTACATGTGTATATAGTTTTTGCCTTGTCCATCTGTCTGTCTCCTTTATCTGTATGTCCATAAGTTAACTTTTGAATGGATGGGACTATGGCTTTCACATTGCACAACTGTATTCCTTGTGACAAAACCTTTCTATTGGTACTACCGAATTTGACCTTTTGACCTTGACGTTTGACCCACTTTTACTAAAAATTTCCAAACTTTAACTATAGCCATAGCTTTTGAAAAGTTAGAGCTAGGGCTTTCATACCTCACATGTGTATCCCTTTATCGGGTGAAAATATTTACCTTACTTTAGAGGTTAGCCCAGTTTAAAAGAAAACTTTAACCTTATGATAACTTTTGAACTGTCAGAACTCTACTAGGGCATCACACTCCCCTGACCAGTGTATTCCTTGCGAGAAGACATTCCTTTCGGATACCAACAGTTTCTGACCTTGGCCTTAGAGTTTCTACCTACTTAAAAAAACTTTAACCTTGACCATAACTTTTGAACTGTAAGTGCTAGGGCTTTTATGTGTTTTTTTTTTGGTTTATTTTGTCACCTCCAAATTGACTTTCAATATATTTTTATGGTCAGAAAATACAACAAAAAGGAACTTATCCCATTTCGGAGCAGTCCGGTGATAGCCTGAGGTACTACTTGGCTGTGAGAGTGTCCCAATGTTGATGATGTTACAGAAACGGGAAGGGGGATTCTGTATGCCAGGCAGTATGCTATTTCCTCAGTGTATCTGAAGTAAATTTTGAGGAAACTAAATTTATAGCATGCAGTCTTGCAGAGCCATGTTTTATTTTTAGTCTTTGACGTTTCAGTTTTATACATTTTAAAAATTGTGTGATAATTGGGACTTTTGGGTGGCCATATTGCTCCATTTTCAGATTCTGACATAGAAAAAATAGCCCTTTTTAAAGACATTGATAGATAATAAGGTAAGTCAGTCTTGTTGGAAAATCTCTTTGGTTTCATGTGTTGTATTTTTTAGTTTTTTTTTTAAATTAACCCCCTCCCTACAAATTTTAATTTGAGAATAAAATTAAATTATAATCATAGTTGCATACAGGAAAAATCTGATTTTTTTTCTTTTCTCAAGTCCAAGGAATGAGTCTCCACAACAAGAGCTATTATTGGAAGCATCCACATAAATTGTACTTATATTATTAATTTGTTCAAATTATGATCTACTGCCAAGGGGGGGGAGAGAGAGAGAGAGAGGGGGATATATCAATCAGAAGACTATCATATACGAAAATGTACCAGATTCTTCCTAGAAACATCTAGCAAGATAACAATCAGTTGGTATATATGTATGGAAAAACCTAAATATCACAATATACAGTAGTTCAACTTTGTCCTTTATCATCTCTTTCCTGATAATCTCCCTTTTTTCATACAATTTCAAACTCTCTTGATAAACATCAGATTCACAATTTATATTCTCATATGCATAAATAAAACCCATTTTTTCCAAGATGTAGGCTTTTTAAGCCTATTCATGAAAACAGGACAATTTGGGAAACTTGACAAAACCCTTTTCACTGGATCCAGCAGATGGCATCCGTATTATGTTTTATTGTTTTACTTGTTTAGGAAATGTTGCAACTGCTAGCGAAATTGTTGCCCAAGGTCTTTTTGCTTAAGAATGAACTGGAATCTAAGTAACTCTCTGGTTTCAACTGAGGAGGAGGCATGAGGTTAACACTGGGCAGAATGTTACTGTAAATGAGGTGTTTATAGATAGACCTTAATTTCATATATACACATACAGTTGAACTTCGGTATCTAGAACACAGATATCTCAGATACCAGGATATGTCAAAGTGATTTAAGTCCAAAACACTTTATCAAGTATATTAGTTGATATCTTGAATCATCGGATATCTGGAAGCTTTTCGTCCATCTTATTGAGTTTGAGATTGCCAGATTTGACTTTACATATTATGTATATATGCATGCCCCCCCCCCACCCCCCCTTCAAACCCTTCTGAAAAGTATGCAGCTGTCTTGCACTGTTACTTTACTTATGGATCATCAGATAAAGTACCCAAAATACATATAAATGATTTTATTTAATATACTACGAGGAATGACAACAAATATAAATTGAACATGTACAAAACAAAGCTTTACAGACTTGCTGTTCATAAAATTGTATAAATAACAATAAATGTATAACAAACTTTTCCAAGTCTGTACACCTACTGATTAAAACTTGTTACTAAAATATCTTAAAAAAGGGTAAATATTGTATAAATGGTTCCAGTGATTGCCAAATATTCATGTTACTACAATGAACATTTATTCAACCACAAATCTAGGAAATGGTTTACAGCAATCTGTGAAGAAATTGTCGATAGAATCACTACAACTCAAATTGTTAATTATAAATCTATAGAGAAAAGTAAATTACAGTAACTAAAGAAACGACATGAGTGTCAAAATGATATACATTTATTTCTAAATCTGTACATTTATCCTTTTGATGTAACATATTAAAAGTCTCTTTTGATTTTGCTTTGAACTTTGAAATCTATGTAAAAATGTACATAATGACTGCATTTTTTTTATCTAAAAATACAATATCAATCTTAAAAGAGGACACTCCTCAATATATACAAACATATAAAAATACATTTACATACTCAAAATTATTAACCGACTATGTGACCACTAGATTCAAACTAAAGTTATTTTGTTATCTCAAAAATCCAATGTTGCCAATGATAGATATAGGAATGAAATGGTGAACCTTTTGCAAAAGAATGTGAATGTATGGCACATTTCTATAGGTTTGACCCTTAAAAGAGCCAAGGATTAACAATTTCAAATCTGTAGTTAAAAAGCTGTTAGTATGTTATAACTAGACAATAAGGTATTATCAAAATATAATTATAAATAACTGTAAATCCCTGTAAATAATTCAATGTGGTTGTATGATGATACTTACGATATATTCAAAATATGGCAGCATGTTCAATATAGAATTTTAAACACGTGAAAATGAATATTTACAATGTCATATACATGTATATACAAAAATTTTAAAGATTTAAACTTGACAGCTAAAAAAAACAAATATTGAATTCTGCTGCTCAGGATGCATTTTCATATTTCAAATGCAAAACTGAATTAAAAATTGATGGAAATCATTCTGAAGACTTAATACAAACTCTGATATCTTTTCCATGATACAAATTAATTTTGAAGACTTAATACAAACTCTGATATCTTTTCCATGATACAAGAAAGATAATGGAAAAAATAAAATTAACATAACAGTTTGTGGCAAAACTGCATAAATAAAAAGAAAAAAACACTACATCTAAGTTTATTTCATCTAAAAAGAGTTTCTAAACATTGCACATCCTTTTTCCCCCTCCATCATGAAGTCTAGTATAGTTTTTATGTAATATATACATATATCCATATATATTGAAGTAGATCTTGTACAAATATTATGGCAACAAATACATGCATTTAAAACGGTATTTAAGAGGCTTCCAATCAAAATATATTTCATGATTTTCATATGTCCAACAAATACCTACAAGGTATTGGCTTATCAGTAATTTACCCCACAAGAGTAAAGTACAGAGACTTATTCTTGGATGAATTACATGTATAAGCTTATGTGGTCACCAATAAGATCAAGTGTTTTAATTCAACTTTTTGGTTGATTTATTTTGATGTTTATCTACCACATATATTTGTTGCCTATAAGTCTTCACTTGTATGTTGCTTGTTTTTTTTATTTCATATTATTTTAGAGGAAGTTGCGAATGACTCCCTTGTAAATAGGTGTTTTTTTCTGCTAGAATATATTGCTAATTTCAGAACAATATTGCATATATGTTAGATGTTAGGGTCATTTTTAAATAGTACATTTTGTGGTATTATGTCTATTGTAAATTTATTTCAAAGAATCTTTTTTTTTTGCCAGCACTAAAAGTAATTTCAACATAAAAAATTTTGTAAAACACCCTAAAGAACAATACAATAAGCATGTAAAGCACCGTAGAAAGAGGAAAACAAACAAATCACAATAACATTAGCCACTCAAATTATATCTTAATTATATTAACAAAACAATGCAAATCAAAAACTTTGCAAAATAATCAACAAAACTACATGTATACTCAAAATGGACACAGAAATGATACATTACTAAGTTCTATGATGTTGTAAATACTGATGTAATTCCTACCAAAAGTACAATGGCTATTGACTATATACAGCAGCTCACTATCATGTAATAGTCAGGCATTGTAAAATTACCAAAGTATAAAATGCAATTTTATTGTGTTCATCCATTTTTCTTCCTGTCTACCAAATTGATTACACATGAGGAAAACTTCATAAATAATAAAAAAGATCACTGTACAAAGGCTTCATTTTGCAGTTTTTTAAATTCACAGTATAGATAATAGGAATTAAAAATAAACTGCAAACTCCAAACACATATTCTTAAGAAAATTAGCCACAAGCAAAATCAAAGCAGTATACAGCATAGACAAACAAAACAACAGGGAAGTGAGATGATATGACAGATCTTGGTATATAAACACTGAATCTTGTTTTTCTATACGATATTGACAGCCCCACTAACAAGAGGCCCACGGGCCTTATAGGTCACCTGAGTATCATGTAACAACTTTCCAGTGATTGTATTTGGTTCGTGTTTTAATAAAAAAGCCACAAATTTCACAAATTTTGAAGGAGGCACCATTGCTTATCAAAGGGCAGATTTCAAAGCATTAATTTATTTTTAGTCAAAGTACCCCCCTGGTACCCCTGACCCAGCGGCCCTGAAATTATCTATTTTGAAAGAGACCCCTTTCTTCATTATAAGGCCAGCATTTTTTTATGTTTAGGTTTAGTTATGAACATGAGAATTTTTGATAAATCAATTATTAACATTTGTACATTCTTTTTTTATGCTATTCTAGTAGGCTCCTTATAACTGGACACATACTACTTACAAATAGGAAAGTAGAACATTTAATTGCTTATTTCATGCCAGCTTGGGCCAGTTATATAAATTTTGTGATGTTGGTCAAAATATATTTTAAAAAATCAATTCTTTAAAAGTCTTTCAATTTATCTTCATTTTTTAAATATGTGTTAGATGAATGTGTAGACAATGTTCTAAAATTTACTTGATGCCTAAAATTATAATTCCTATAAAACAGACAGGGAGTATTGGGAAGTATGGTGAACATTTTTTCAATTAACTGTTAAATAATTTTTCTGGCTGATACAATTGATACTACATGCCTGTATATATTTGTATATTCTTGCCGCCTTTTAATAGTTGAATTTTTTTTTATTTCTTCAGGTTATTGTTTATTTCTTCCTCAAATGGACTTAACTTCTCCCATAGTTTTATTCATTACATCTGATGCATAAGCAACCCTTTTTTGAAGAATGATGCTTAGACTGTAAGCTATAACAGAGACCTAAACTGTAACAATGTCGCTGGCAATATGCAATAGCTACCACGGGCAGTTTAAAACCTGGGGGAGGAAAATTATTTACAGACAGATACTTTTGAAACGAATACATAATTATCTCACCAGCATGTCATTGTGCAGCAAAGTCGTCAGCATTTTATTTGTCCTTTGAACGGGTGAAACGTTTTGAATGGCACTCGTATCGATGAATTTTACACTAAACCAAGCTCAGATCTAGCTTTATAATTAAAGTTTATTTACCCGCCGTATCATCTTAAAACCGGAAGTGCGAGGTCGTAAATTTGAAATCTCGATCCCGACTCAAATTTGACATCGGAAAGAATTTTTTTTTTTTTTTTCTGAAAATTCAAAACATTGAGCGGAGGGTTTGTAAAACTGAAAATAAAATAAATCCTGGCCTTAAATATGTAATTAGGTCATTAGTATATTAACCAGGAGCAAAGAATAAGATGTTCAAAGAATTCATGCATTTCACTATTAGAGCCCCACCCTAAAACAAGAACCCCTGACCCTGGGGCCATAAAATTCACAATTTTGGTAGAGGCACTCTTGCTTATCATAACTATGTACTTAGTTAGTTTATTTAATACCCAGGAGCAGAGAAGAAGATTTTCAAAGAATTCATGTATTTTCACTATATAATCAATAGAGCCCCGCCCTAACACCAGAACCCCTGACCCTGGGGCCATAAAATTCACAATTTTGGTAGAGGCACTCTTGCGGTTATCACAACTATGTACTTAGTTGGTTTATTTAATACCCAGGAGCAGAGAAGAAGATTTTCAAAGAAATAATGCATTTTCACTACCTACTTATTGAGCCCTGCCCTAGCACTTGAACCCCTGACCCCAGGGCCATGAATTTCACAATTTTGGTAGAGGACTCATTGCTGATTACAATCATGCAAACAGTTTGACTGCTTGAAGTCCAGGAGTGAGAAAGAAGATTTTTAAAGATTGCATTAATTTTAGTGGTTTTGGCCCCACCCCTCAGGCACCAGGGGGGCAGGGATCATGAAATTCACAATTTTTGTTCCCCTTCACCCATAGATGCTTTGTGCCAAATTTGGTTGAAATTGGTTCAGTGGTTGCAGAGAAGAAGCTGAAAATGTTCAAATGTTAACGCACGGCGCACGACGGACGACGGACGACGCACGACGACGGACGAAAACGGATAGCAATAGGTCACCTGAGTTTACTCAGGTGACCTAAAAACACTAGTCCTGGAACGTGTTAAACATCCCTGAGAGATCATTAAATTCCTGTCCAGGAGGGTCCAACATACGGAAAACATCACTGAACTCCTCATTCTGCTGACCGTTAGGAGGGGGAGCCTGCGGACCCGGGGGGTTCTGGGGGGCCTCTGCTGCCCCTCCTTGCCAGGGGGGAGGCCACATTCCCTGACCAGTAGAAGTGGGGGGAGAGGAATGAGAAAAGTTATTTGGTTGTGAACTGGGAATATTCTGTGATCCAAGCTGAGTATAGGTAGGAGGCCCAGCTGAAAACAGATCATATACTTTATTACTTTGAGTCCTTTTATAATACATTTATTTTCTCAAGACATTTTCTTTTACTTTAGTGTATAGCACTGAAGGAAATGAGACTGATTTATTGCCTTATTTCAGTGTTGAAACATTGCTATGCCAGGCTTTCAAGCATGGAAAACCTGTTCTATATATGAACATTATTTTAAACAAAGCTTGACAAAAAATATCTTGTCAGTGAGCAGTTTTCTAAAAAATGAAATTCAACGATGTGATAGACAGATAGATGGGGGCTAGAAGGAAAGAGGGATGGTAATAACAAACAAGGTCATACTGATGTTGAGGCAAAGTTTTTTTTTTTCAAGATTACATTAACCAATGACAAAATGTACATACAAGTTAAAGCAAGTAAGGATCTTGGTTTTAAAACATAGCTTGAAGTCCACTTACCAGGAGAAGAGCTGTTAGGACTGATCTGTGAGAAACCAGGGGTCGGGTTACTACTGAAATCAGTCCCTCCCTGAAATATACACAAGAGTTAGCCTCAATCATAAACAACATAAAATTAACAAGTTACTGAGTATTCAAAGTGGCATTCTAAAAAGCAGAGCTACTTTGAAAATTTTATTTGGCACAGGTTAAAAAAACTGTGCACTTAATTGACTACCCAAGTTGCATTAATTTCACAGCTGGCGAACAAATCTGCTTGTATCTGGACAATTTCCACTTTTTATTACTTAAATAGAAGCCAGCCAAAGACAAACAACAAAACAAATTGTATGGTTTTACACTTGTAATAATATTTTTTATTTTTAGAAAAGCAAATTAATATTTTTGGTTAAGTCCATCTTGGCAATTGGCAAGGCTGAGGAACTTTGATAGTGCAGGTGACTCTCGATGGCTCGAACTCCAATCTCTCGAAGTGAACCTCCGGTCCCGTTTTTTTCCTCTATATAATTAAGCAAATTTACTCCTGATCTCTCGAACTTCTATCTCTCGAAGTTCTCTATCTCTCGAACCAAAATCTTGGTCCCGTTGCACATATTTCATTGAATTTTACTCTCTATCTCTCAAAGTTTTGATTACGCATTTATATCCGCCAATCAAGCGTAAAATTGATGCAGTCTGGACTTACCTGCATGGAAACAATGAACGCCTTGGGCTGGCATGGAGGTGTTAATTGGGTGTTTACATAGATGACACTACAACTGTGGGTCGTCCATGTTTTGATATAATTAATTGGTTATTAATTACATAGTAGATTACAAACAAATTCACAACTTATTTCGAATTGAAACTGAGACGATAATTTTTAGAAATTTAATTTATAGATGTTCGTTTCAGCAAGTTCCGATAGACAATAAACTTTTATTAATTGAATATTGCAGCCCATGATATTTTTTGCTTTTTCTGCCTTTTCAATACCATTATACTGAGACTGTCTTCCAGACAGCTCTGAGAATTGAAAACACCAATTGTAACTTTACTAATTTATTGAGAAACAAGATCATAATAATACAACACACACAATGTTGGATGAAAATGGCCGCAAATTTTGTAGGAGTCAAGGGAGACAACTAGGATACCATAAACAAACGGGCAAACTAGTGGCCTCGCTTAGATGCGAGTGCCATGGAACCCCATGCCTGACACACGCATGATGGCTAGGCACACAAGCTGCACAGCTTTTACACCCTGCCTCTGGCTTGCTACCTGGTTTAGAATTTTAACACCAACCAGCCTGTAGCCTCTCCTACTTTTATATAGGTAGAGGGGGTCTGAGCACTGAAATGCTGCAGATCCCAAGCAATTTACATTTATTCTACACATTTCCTCAATGGCATTTAACTTCCATGTTAAAACACAGCCATGATATTCCCCTCATGCTTTGATGCAGATGGGCAGAGACAAACAGGTTAAGCATGTACTCTTGTTTACCTTAATGTTTCCCTGACTCCTCCCCCTTAATGAATGCGACATTGAATTTATTATTATTATTTTTATATTAAGAGAAAAAAGAACTATATTGATATGCTTAATGTAAAGTCCACTTTTTTTTTTTTTTTTTTTTTTTAATAAAAATCCCAGCTTCTTCCTGAATTAATAGGCATTGGTTGTGAATCTGCCACAATAATCACTTGAGAAGTCCTAAGTATTGAAAGAACAAGCTTAGCTTGATTGAGTCCACAGCATGAAATCTACCTAAAAATATAAAATACTTGGCACAGATTTAAGTGATCAAAGAAAAAACAGTTACATGATAATAATATATATATATATATACATTTTTTTTTTTAAATTGGGAGTGGTGGGTGGGTAACTTTTACTAATGACCAAATGGCTGAGATGTTGAAGAGGAAGAGGAAGTTGCTATAATAGTTAACTCATCCTGATGCTGACTTTCCCATGAACTAGATAACTTGTACCAAGTTGTGTCTTATGTTTAATGCTATCCAAACAATTAAATGAGATTATCTCATATTCATTTCAATAATCTATATTAATTGAATATTGCAGCCCATGATATTTTTTGCTTTTTCTGCCTTTTCAATACCATTATACTGAGACTGTCTTCCAGACAGCTCTGAGAATTGAAAACACCAATTGTAACTTTACTAATTTATTGAGAAAAAAGATCATAATAATACAACACACACAATGTTGGATGAAAATGGCCGCAAATTTTGTAGGAGTCAAGGGAGACAACTAGGATACCATAAACAAACGGGCAAACTAGTGGCCTCGCTTAGATGCGAGTGCCATGGAACCCCATGCCTGACACACGCATGATGGCTAGGCACACAAGCTGCACAGCTTTTACACCCTGCCTCTGGCTTGCTACCTGGTTTAGAATTTTAACACCAACCAGCCTGTAGCCTCTCCTACTTTTATATAGGTAGAGGGGGTCTGAGCACTGAAATGCTGCAGATCCCAAGCAATTTACATTTATTCTACACATTTCCTCAATGGCATTTAACTTCCATGTTAAAACACAGCCATGATATTCCCCTCATGCTTTGATGCAGATGGGCAGAGACAAACAGGTTAAGCGTGTACAAGGCTGATGTCTCCCTTGACCCCGCCACTAACATCGATATGATGTTCCCCACAACAATTTGCACCAAACTTAATATTTATATATATAGCAATCCTAAACTAGGAAATTACAGGTCATCGCGTCATCGCAACTGAAATCTGACTAGATAAACAAAGGGCATTACTGAGGAGGGAAAATTTTGCCCTTTCCCCCTAAAATGAATTCCAAACCACCCTGGATATTATTTAAATAAGCCTTATTCCCCCTTTCCGATAAATGAGTTCCATCATATCTAAATAAACTGCTTTGATGAACGTTGATATTTTTGTCATGAAAAATGCAAGCCCCATTAACTTCGGATGTAATGAATTTTCTAATGGCCTTATTCACCTTACGCCGTTTTAAATCAATCTTAGCCCCACCCTTGCCAAGAGGTGCACCATGCCAATAAAGACGGGGAAGCATTGTTGACCAAATGAGCAAAGTCTTAGGAAGCAATACATTATAACGATACAAACTACATTGAATTTCATGTGAAAATCTAAGTGCAGTATTGCCAGCCGTAGTTAGATCATTTGACCCTGCGTGAATGACTAGTACATCTGGGTGTGGTTGGTGTTTGAGTTCATCTGTTAACACTTTGTCAAGATCTTCCCATTTCAGCCCTTTAATTCCCTTCCAAGTGATGTCCATCCCAAGATTAAGATTCTTTCCACCCGGTCTCCTCCCTGCCTCCTCACCAGCCCAATAAGGTATTGAAGATCCCACTATCCAAATCGTCTTGAAACCTGGAATACTTTGGCAAAATTAGCCTGTATTCCATTTAACAATGCTAACATGTTATAATCTTATGTAGTTTCTGAAAGCTTTTGACTCCCACCGGCCCAAAGATTTTATTTCTGAATCTGGAAACCCCTGTTTTGCAAGATCTGTAGCCCTGCCTATTCTAAAACTATGTGGTCTAAAGTGTCCTTGAATGTTCCTGAATTGAAGTGCTTTTTGAAGCACATAGTTGAATTGGTATCTTGTTACACCCTTATTGTCGACATGAATAAAGCATAAAAGGGAACCATCATTAGGACGCAGCTGCAAAAACCTGAGTGCCCACTGTACTGGGCAAATATCCGAATTTAACTGTTTGGAAATATGCAATGTTGTTGTATTTCCCATTTGGTCAGTTTTGGACCTGGGAATTAAGATGCTGACCTTGCTTCTAGTAAACGTGATGTGTGCCCTATGGATATTCAAAACTTCACTTACTCTAAGCAAGCCGTGATATGCAATTGAAAAAAGTGTGGAAAATAACACTGCCTCGTAGGATGATCTACACACTGACGGCAATGCTGATACTACATGCTCCAAGATAGATACAGTTAATGGGATTCGAGAATCTAAAGTGATACCTCTCTTTTTGTGGAGACCCTGCAAGGCTTTTTTGACAATGAATGATTGTGTGTTATCTTGTATGCCTCTTAATTTATGGATATATGATAATGCGCTAATGTACAGTGCAGCTGTTCTATAAGCTGTACCTGAAATAGAAAGGTGGGCAATGAAATTAAGCAAATGATCAACAGGAATGGGGAAATACAATGTGGTCCCACAATTATTCAGGAATTTTTTGAAGTTGGTGAGAGCCCCCTGGTAAGCTTTGTATGTGTTTGCTGATAGTGAACCCTGTATAAGTCTGTTTGCCTCCCTTGTTAAATTTCCCACATATTCTTGGGAAGCGGTGTTGGCCATGGATCTGCTGCCGGTGCTAGCCGTCGGAATTTGCCCCACTGTGAACGAGAGATAGAATCCGCAATAAAATTTGATTTTGAAGGTATGTGTTTTGCTTTAATCAAAATATTGTGTTTGAGACAAGTGAGAACTAGTTTTCTTACAATTTTCATGACCCTTTGTGACTTTGATGTTGTCGAGTTTATGACATGTACCACCGCCATATTGTCAATGTAAAACAAAATTCTATTGTTGGAAAATTGATGTTTCCACAATTCAATAGCTATGTGGACCGGGAAAAGCTCTAATAAGGTCATGTCACGGGTTATGCCTTGTACAAACCAGGAAATGGGCCATTGAGCATATGTCCACTTGCCTGCAAAATATATACCAAAACCCCCCTTATCTCCCCCTGCGCTATCAGTGTAGAGTTGTAGAGTCTCATTATTCACCCATATACCTTCTGTAATGACTGAAATGCCATTAAAGGATTGGAGGAAGTCAAGCCAGACTTTGAGGTCTGCTTTCATTTCTAACGTTACACGGGTATGGTGATGAGGTTTGTTTAGGCCAATTGTTGCATCAATCAAACGTCGACAGAAAGCCCTACCTGGAGCTATAACTCTACATGCAAAATTTAACAAACCCAATAAAGACTGAAGTTGCTTAAGAGTAACCTTCTTAAGTGCCATAATGTCGAGAATCTTTTGTTTGATTTCATCGATTTTTACCAACGGTAACCTCATGATCATTTCCGTCGTATTAAATTCAATGCCCAAGAACGTAAGAACCTGCGTTGGATATACTGTTTTGTCTTTTGCAATAGGGACCCCCAGATCGTTGCACAGATAAAGAAAAGTGTCCAACGTATTTTTGCAAATGGGAAGTTCTTTGCCACAGAAAAGAAAGTCATCTAGATAATGCAGGATTGAGGCATTTTTTGAGCAATCCTGTATAAGCCAATGCAGAAAGCAAGCAAATCTGTCCCAAATTGCACAACTTATTTTGCAACCGAAAGGTAGCATCTTGTCGTAATAAAAACCATCATTGAAGTGAAAACCTAACAAGTCGAAATCAGTGCTGTTCACTGGTAGCAACCTAAAGGCTGATTTAATGTCCGACTTTGCCAGAAATGCCCCCCGACCTAATTTTGCAATAATGGCGGCAGCATCATCTATGGTTGAATAGGTTACTGAGCTCTGTTCTGGGTCAATGAAATCATTTATTGAAGCAGATTCTGGATATGATAAATGGTGAATGAGGCGGTAGTCACCGTCTTTTTTAGGTACAAGACCTAAAGGAGAAACTTGTAATGTTGGAAAAGGTGGTTCTATGAAAGGACCCGCAACCCTCCCCAATGAGACTTCTTTGTAAATCTTTTGCTCTGCAACTGGATATTGTTTGTCTAAACTTGTAAGATTCTTAGAAAACCTGGGTGATCTAGGGCCAAAATACTGCAATTTAAAACCATGTTGAAAACCTTCCCTTAAAAATTGATGATCAGAATAATTTTGTGTATGTAAAAAAATTTTATCTAGTTTAATTGGGGTCTTGCCCAGTTTATACAGCTGTCTTGTTGGAACAGGTTGTGGCCGGGTGCTTTCCTCCGCACCTCCTACAGACGTGCTTGAATCTGCATCAATGATTGGTGGTGCGAATTCCCCCAAGTCACTGTCGGGTGAAGCATCACTCCCTGCAGTCTCTGGTTCGGCATGGTGGGGGGGATGATCATTCCTGGCTCCAGACCTTTGCTGCCTGGGAGCATGGCGAGGCTTTTTGTGTCCTCTGCCCCTGGATGGCGACACCATCTCCCCTCTGATATCCCTCTTCCTTTTTGGTGGCATGATGGTTAGGATTGGACTGGATTTTTGTTTGTAACTTTTACTAATGACCAAATGGCTGAGATGTTGAAGAGGAAGAGGAAGTTGCTATAATAGTTAACTCATCCTGATGCTGACTTTCCCATGAACTAGATAACTTGTACCAAGTTGTGTCTTATGTTTAATGCTATCCAAACAATTAAATGAGATTATCTCATATTCATTTCAATAATCTATATTATGATTAAATAGAGTCTAAATAATTCCAGCATGGCAAATATCGCACAAGAAAATTCCTTTCTCAAGGACTGAATACCGATTAAGAAAAATCTGGTGAACACTGGTGAAGGACCCGATCAAGCCACGGAATAGCCAAACCGACAGTTGCTATTCGGGTTTCATGTAATCATGATATAAGAACAAATAAATACTGAAACTTAAAAAATTCGTTTTATTTATTCGAAATACAATCATTGTTGTTGATATCACGTAAATTACCTGTCAAATACGATTGAAAACGTGCAATGACTTTCTTTACTTATACTTCCGGTATCTATAAAAGTAGAACTTCGGTGATCGGAACTGAAAATTCCGGATTTTTTTTTACTTTCTATCTCTCGAACCCCTCGATCTCTCGAACTTTTCTTGCGGTCCCTTGAACTTCGAGAGATCGAGAGTCACCTGTACATGCATTCAGTCCTGCATGTCCACCAAATTATACCATGAGTTTCAAACACTATTTGGCATAAAAACTGCTTTATATTTCTACAATATCTTCTATTTAATAGCAATTAAAAACTAATTTCATAATAATCAGATTATAAAATAACCTACCATACATAGCTTTCAGTTTGAGTGAGTTTCCAATAAATACTTCTGTGTGAAGTTTTTCTTTTCTTTTATTTTTTCCCATAGCTGTATAATTCCTTGAATTAATTAAAATTAATAAAGAGGCCCATTGTATATATTTATTCCAATAAAACATGTAATTTACCTGATTTTGAGGAAATCCCGCCGGTCCTGCCCAGCCCCCTGCATTAGGACTTCTCCTGACCCCGGTAACACCCGATGCCTGAGATAATGGCATACTGGTGCCCGCGGTCTGTCCGGGGTACTTGATTTGAGAAGGTGAGTTGTAATTATACATCTCTGGTCTGCCAATCTGTCTGCCCCCTATAATAACAAAAAATGTCTTTCTTCAATGTCATGTCAGAGATGTTAAAGAGTATTTTACACCTTACTGTTTTTTTTTTAATATTAAATTTATGCCGTCAATACACAAGCATTACTGTTTAATTGTAGATTTTAACTGTCTTGGGTGATTATCATGATCAAACACATTAAAAGCAAAGCTGGTTGCATGAAGTTGCTCAATTAGCATGCAGTTGTCATTTTTGTTCTTGAATCACCAATGATAAACCAGTCTCTGGCTATTTACTGTATATGTTTTTAGATGGTCAGATTTATATTCAGTAAATAAGTTCAGGATTCAGTTTTCTTTCCCTGTTTTCTTGGCCTTGGAAAAGTTCAAGGTTTTATTGGAGAATCACCATTACCAGTGATATTTAAAGGAATATGTGTTTTGTTTTATTTTTAAAGAATATTTTACAAATTTTAGAGAACTCAGAAAAAAGGACAGACAGACAAAGTCAATTCACACAGAAGCTCTGCATCATAAATACACCCTAGCACGCTAGTTCTGGACTCACCAGTGAGGACAGAGCTGTAGTCCTGGAAGGGCTCCCGGAAATCGTGCTTGTTAGCTGACTGCTGGATGTTCATCTCTGTCGGCATGGGGCCCCGGGGAGGGGTGTTGTAGGAGGCCATGGACGGGTTAGGATCTGGGGGTTGTTCATTTGGCATTCCTTGACCAGTAGAGGCACCTGCTCCTTGCTGAACACTTCTATAAAGAAAAAGATCACTCTAGAAAAGAACTTATATCATGCAACAGTACCGAGTTCATTTTGAAATACAGGTACTCTTATGCCCATTAACATGTACTTGTATTAAATAATTAAAAGTTAAATTTAAAATCACAACACTTATAAAAGATTTATAATGAACAAGTAATACTTTAAACTGATTTCACATATCATTCAAGTCTTGTCAACTATTTAAGATAAATAATTCTAAACTTCCCTCAATTCATATGTACAATTTAGTTCATTTCTTACTTTGCAGATGTGTTTGTGCAAACAATGTACTCCACTTCATCAGTGTAGGGGTTCTGGAAGCTGAAGCTACTGGTCCTTAGCCATACCCACTCATGATTGGAGGCCCTGAACCGGTACATGATCGACATCACCTGACCCTTTAGCTTCAACACTGAAAGATTTAATACATGAATTAATTCATAACGAAATGCTATTTGGGTTCTTAGATTACAATACTGTTAACCCTTCGCTAACACCCCTTCTCAAAATGGAATCAAAGGCCTGAAGGGCCTGCGAGTTGACTCGCTCGAGTTAATTGAGCTTTTTCATACGTCTGGACACCATACCTTATATTCAGTTTATTTTGCATCTTAAGAGATTGAATATTATATGTCTTCATGTTCGATTAAAAAATAAAGTGTATTACTATATTGCTTTTCCTTTGTATGTACAGGTTGGCACTAATGGGCTTCCGTACATACCGGGTATTATTGTGATAAGCAGCACTGCAAACCTTGGATTCCATAATGTATTATTTAAGCACACTAGCTGCAGTGGTCAGTGTTATGGAGTAATTAGTTTAAAGATTCCCACAGCAAATCTGGATTCTAAAAATAGATTTTTCAAGCACACTAGCTGCAATTAATGAGAGCAGCAGGTGTTTGTGTTAGGGGGTATTCTAGGTCAATTATAAATAAACTTCAGATGAGTAGATTAGATCCGCCTAACATGCTTGAACATATATTCATACGCAGTAATTGTACATCTTACAGATATTTAAACAAAAATTTCTTTAAAAGCATGAAGACATAAATAATGTAACAGTCTGATATTTTATGCAGTTTTTACCTCCTAAGTTTATACCATCACTCAAACAAGAGCATTTTTTGCTAGAACTATCATATTTGGTGTATGGATCACCTTGATGAATGCGTGAAAAATTTTACAGCTCTGAAACGCCGGTGTTAACAGGGAGTAGCTCGCTACGCGAGCCAACTCAAAAAAATGATTTTTTTTTTATATAAAGTGAGACTTTTATGAAGAAAATCTATACTGATGGTAATTTACATTTTTACACTCTTTGCATAAGAAACTAGTTATATCAGAATTATTATTTGTATTCATCTTGCAGAAGAACTGCTTTCTGCCTACTAGTATATTTTTACTACACATACCTTGATCAAAAGTGTCTTTCATATGAGCTTTGTCCTCTGGGTGATAAAAATCGAAGGCAGATTTTCCCAGCAGGTCAGCTGGCTGATAGCCAAGTACTGGTGTCACTCTACAATACATTATAGATTTACAATCTGATTTCTTAAGAAAGAATACATCAATTCTCTCCACATCAGCCATTAATAGGCAATGAGACATGGGAATCAGGTTTTAATAATAAACTATGGACACAAGATCTCAAATTCATATGTCTCCCTAATATGCAGAGTGACAACTCTATTGTCTCCCTTTATATGAAACTAGAACTGTCCAAACGGGACAAAATACCCCCCGCTGGATTTTCAGAAGTGCTACATCATGAATATTTTATGGATCTAAGAGAAAAGAGGAAGGCTAAAACATTTTTAGTGCAAATGTAATTGCTCATTATATTTTTTTATAAATGAAATAAAAGCGCAGCCTAATTAAAAAAAATAGAATCCAATGAAAGTCTTCTCAAAAGGATCACATATGTGAAGTACAAAAGCCCTAGTCCTCACCGTTCAAAAGTTATGGTCAAGGTTAAAGTTTTTTCATAAGTACATAAATCTCCAAGGTCGTTGTTGGTGGTCCAATGAAATGTTTTGCCACAAGGAATACATATGTGAAATATAAAAGTCCTAGTATCTACTGTTTAAAAGTTGTAACCAAGGTTAAAGTTTTTAAAATGTAATTAAAACTCCAAGGTCAAGGTCAAAGGGCAAAAGTTATTGGTATCCAATGAAAGGTCTTTTCACAAGAATTATATATGTGAAGTACGAAAGCTTTCATCCTCACCGTTCAAAAGTTATGGTCAAGGTTAAAGTTTTTTCATAAGTACATAAATCTCCAAGGTCAAGGTCAAAAGGTCAAGGTTGTTGTTATCCAATGAAAGGACTTGCCACAAACAATACATATGTGAAATATAAAAGTCCTAGTATCTACCGTTCAAAAGTTGTGACCAAAGTTAAAGTATTTTTAAAACGTAGTTAAAACTCCAAGGTCAAGGTCAAAGGGTAAAAGTTATTGGTATCCAATGAAAGTCTTCTCAAAAGGATCACATATGTGAAGTACAAAAGCCCTAGTCCTCACCGTTCAAAAGTTATGGTCAAGGTTAAAGTTTTTTCATAAGTACATAAATCTCCAAGGTCAAGGTCAAAAGGTCAAGGTTGTTGTTATCCAATGAAAGGTTTTGCCTCAAACAATACATATGTGAAATATGAAATCCTAGTACTTACTATTCAAAAGTTATGGCCAAAGTAAAAGTTTGGAATTTTTGTGTAAAAGTGGGTCAAACTCCAAGGTCAAGGTCAAAAGGTCAAATTTGGTGGTACCCAAAGAAAGGTCTTGTCACAAGGAATACACATGTGAAATATGAAAGTCATAGCTCCACTAAATCAAAAGTTATGGGCAAGGTTAAACTTTTTGTGACGGACAGACTGACGGACAGACAGACAGACGAATGAGATTTAATGTCCCCTCCCTTTCGCGAAAGCGGGGGACAAAAGATATGGACCGAACACAAATTATGAAATTTTTCTTCCAGTGACCTTGAACTTCCCCAAATGACCTTGACCCAAGGTCATGACACACCCTTAGGTCAGGAGCAATCTTTGTGTGAAATTAGAACCTACCAAATTTATCCGAGAGAAAGATATGGACCGGACACAAATTATGAAATTTTTCTTCCAGTAGCCTTGAACTTCCCCAAATGACCTTGGGTCAAGAACATGACACATCCCTAGGTCAGGAGGAATCTTTGTGTGAAATGAGAACCTACCAAGTATATCCATAAGAACGATATGGACCAGACACAAATTATGTTTCTTCCAGTGACCTTGAACTTCCTAAAATGACCTTGGGTCAAGGTCATGACTCATCCTTAGGTCATGGACAATCTTTGTGTGGAGTAGTAGAATCCAATTATCCTCCGTAAGAAAGATACGGACCGGACACGTTTGCACAGCCTGACAGACAGCTAGACAGACGGACAAGGTGATTCCTATATACCCCCCCAATATTCATTTGCAGTGGGTATAATAAAAATGTTGCAATTAAACTAACTCATGTAATAAAATAATTAATATATGTGTGAAATCTGTAAACAATAAATTCGAATGGTGGTTTCAAACTTGTAAACTGACCCATAAAATTTCATGAAGTTAAGATTATTCAGGAAAATACTTGTAAAACTAATATGTATTGTTTAGAAGTGAAACACCATGAATTATTGGACTGAGTAGGGTTGTCATTCTCAGGTGCATCTCAGTTAACAACCCTACTAAGACTGGATAATTTGCGATGTCTCCCTTCTAAACAGTTCATATTTGTATATTTATTATGAATCTTAAAACTTTACACCCTAGTAATACTAAATATTATACTTCATGTAAAATTAGTTGAATCTGGTTGAGAAACATTTGTTAAAAAACACTACTCCCCGCTGAATAATGAAGCCACGCCCTCCAGCTTAGCAACAGTAAACTGTGCTTGACGACGGGTGATATTCAAAAAAATAGCGACTGCACAGAATTTATGCGCGCACGGTTCACTGTTATATGTATTTGTATAAAACATTCAGTATAATATAATAAATGTTCCATGTAGTTGAGAGTAACATTGAAAATTTTCACCCCTCGAAAACCATTGTCAACCGAGGCTGCGCCTCGGTTGACAATGGTTTTCGAGGGGTGAAAATTTTCAATGTTACACTCAACTACATGCAATATTTATATAATATTAATCACCTTTGGTCTACAAATGTGAATTTTCCATCAATATTATGCCTGGATATGAACTCTGTGCTGCCGTTGGGTCCCATGAGATCGCTGCAGTTAGGTGTACTAGTTACCTGGAGTCGACCGATGCCCACCAGACAACAGTGTGTGCTGGAGTTCTCATCTGAGTCTCGGTCCATCTGCACTCCTATGGTCAAATATAAATATATACAAAATATAAATATACAGATACTTAGAATTCTGAGTCATTTTTAAGCAGCCAGAAAATAACAAACTTTCATTATATTTTTTCAATGTTTCAACCCTAAATTACCTGAGGGTGGCCAGTTTTTGATATAGCCAGTTACATGGACTACGGTATAGTGGTTGCCATCAGGCGAGGGCCCTAGAGTATTTCGCTGCCGTGCTCGGTGGGTGTGACTTGAGTTCATGCTGCTAACATCTACGTTACCCATCTTCATACGACATATAAAGCCTCGTCTGGATCCCATACACAATCTGATAGATGCTACACACAACAAAGTCAAATGATTAAATCTCTAAGTATTCAAAATCTGGTTGGATAAGAAATATATTGGTTGACATTTCTAAGCAATTTCTCATCTTCTTTAAAACTTTGCTACTTACTCTGGTGACTGTCTTTCTTGACTGTTCCAGCTAGAAAGAGAAAAAGTCAGTTTCTAGAATATAGCAAATCTTTAAATATGTATTTTGATTTGTCAAATTTGAAACATTAAAAAAATCAATATCTAGAATTCTTTTAGCTTTTATTAATGTAATTTCTACAATTCTTCTTATGTTTGGTGATAACATATTATTTCAAGCCTATGCACAGTGATAAATTATATTTTCAAGTCTCAAATTCTTCCAATGCTCTGTTGTAACTTACTTTTTTCAGCCTAGATTTTTCTTTTTCTACTGTGTGGTAACTTACTTTTTAAGTCCAGAATTCTTCCAGTGTTCTGAGATTCAGAAGTTGACAGCTGTTCTCTAACCTTCTCCACATCATCAGGATGAACCAGTTCATACATTGAGTTTCCAAACCAGTCAGCCTGTTTGGAAGATAAAGATTGATGTCAAAAACCACTCTAAATATATATTTACATCTTTTCAATGACATACAGACATCATTAATTCCACAAGTCCCAGAAACCTTGAAGTCAATGTACATAATATTTACGTGTAGCTGTACTACAATCATTTTAGCTGTTATGATTTACTGTATAGTTTAGCAGCCCTGGAGGAATATCATGCAGAATAAAGTACGTAAGACACCTAGTTGAACTGAGATGCATCATAAGGTATTCACAGCCTGCATAAAATGGGTTTACCTGAGATTGGTTTAGAACCTGTGTGATGGAATCTGAGACATAAATCATTCTGCCTGTGTCACACTGAACAACAAACAGGAACCCGTCAGCTGCCTGAAAATACAATCAATTTGTTCATGAGATATTGGAACCCTACAACATTTTTAACATTACATTGTAGGTGCAGGGATCAGATTTTACTAAACACTTATCGAAAACCTGGGAGCCAGGGCAAGATAGATTTAAAGAAAAAATAAAATGCAAAAGATTTTAAGACTGTGGTATTGGGCAAAATGCATTTTGTTGATCCCTCAGATCAACTAAATGCCTTCAGTCCAATGGCCTTTGGCTAACAGTTGAATTTTTATCAGACAAAACATGTAACCAGTCATTAAATAGATAATATTTACCTCTAGTATAAGATGTTTGAGCTCCTGGTCAGTCAGGAAGGATGGCTTATAACAACCATCAACACTGGTGTTTCCAGCTACTGAAAATAATATACCAATCAGCATCACTCTTGCCAAACATTATTTACATTGATTAAATTGGCGAAGTTGGGGGGGGGGGGGGGGGGCAATTGATGGACGTTAGTGGATTAACAATATTTAACAACTGAAAATTACAACCATTTTAACAAGGCAAGTGGTACATGTATAAAAACCATTCTATGCAGCTTTTTTAATCCTCTACACTGTAGCATCAAAAAGTGTTTTTTTTTTAAATTGGGTTTGTATTGCTATATTAATTACAAACTTTTCAATTTGTTGCATAGCTCACCATGATGTCTAACAACTAGTAATGATACTTGCATGCTACAGATTTCGATATTGATTGTATTCTATACTGCATTATAGGAAAATCATTTGTAAACAATTCTCCCTAGAACATTTTAACTGTTTTACAGATCCATTCCATAATTGTGGAAGCTAAATGACTAAAGGGGGACCAAACAGACTTGGGAGTCAACTGCAGCATGTCTAATTTTCTCTGCAGTATAATTTTCACAAAAAATAACTCTCTGGTGACACTTACACATAAAGTAATGATAACTGGATCAAAGACAAATTTGAAAATGGAGTAGAACATATTTGTTTATGAAACACATAAACCATGACTACAAGGAAAGTGGTTTACATCAAATGTCAAAACATATTTTTTTTTCAGTGTAATAGCTGTTTCTTTACTTGACGACAATTCCTGATCATTGCAAAGACAGAGAAGAGGAAGACACATTTATATCTAATGGTTCTCACTTGCTCTAAATCTAGGTCACAATTACAGGATTATTGATTTAGCCATCCTGCTAGGCCCTCTTATGCTCTAGTTCTTAAACAGTTTTCTTTCTGTACAAGTATTATTGTAAATTTTTTTCCAAAAAATACATGTACTGGTAATGCGGTATACACGTATTTTGTCTTTAATGTAAAAATGTCTGAACCTTTATAATTTTCATAAAAAACTCCCTTTAGAAATATAAGGTTATCTTTTCCTGCATTGTCAATATCTCAGACTTAATATTACCTGTACCTCTTAAAGTTTTCATGTGAGAGACGGCCATTCTAAGGATGGTCAGCTTGTCTGGTTTTCTGGCCAGCGTACTACAGGTAGGAACCATGTCACAGAGTTCATTGATGTAAGAGGTCATCTTATTCCTCCTTCTTCTCTCTATCTCACAATGGCTCTCTCTACAAAAACAGACAACATACTGCTGTCATGGCCATACATATTATAAATATATAATAGTACCTGTATTGGTACTGCATCTGTTTATTTTTCTTACAGAGTATTTGTTACTACTAATTTTTGTTTCTAGGTTTTTGTTCTATTTATTTGATTTAGAAAAATCTTCAAATACCAGACAAATTGATGTTTGACTTAAAATGTAGATTTTTATTTGAAAATAATCTTTTAGTACCAAAGAGTATGAAATTCAAAGTAATTAAAATTGGAGAGAATATGCCATTAATTTACACATTTATTACTTTAATGTATTATTGCTAACAAGAAATAAATTGAAAATCTTGGGAAATCCATATCCATCTTTTTTTCTGTTGAGGTAATGACTCAAGTTTTCAAACCAGATTGTTTTGCTATTCACCTCTGCTAATACATCAGATAGTAAATGTTGCACATTTACTTATTAATTAGTGCTTTATATGTTCTCTTTTATTGAACTAATTCATGTAGCTCATCAAAGTAAATAGCAATTTTTATTGTTGTTAATATACTTTGAAAATTTTCCTCCTTTTAAAATCATTACAGGTGCATATATACAAACAAACTACTCAAATGTGTATCTATCAAATATCAGATTAATTTGGACTTAATTAATGTCAGTCAATGTTCTAATTATTTTTAACTGACCCAATCTTTTAGGACTTTGATTATCCTTATTGCTTATAGTAGATTCAATAAGTTTTGATACAATATTTTAACTAAATATATGTGATACAGTAACTACGAAAAAATGAAAGCTACTTTTCTGTCATTATAAAGGCCTAACTGTGATAAGTATTTCCGATTAACAGAGTTACAACTCCGTAATGACCCAATGAAGATAAGTATCCACTTAATAAAGAGTTAATGTGTCTGAATCCCTGTACAGAAAATGTCAAGGAAATCAAACTTATGTATAATTTCTATTTCCTGCCTATGACCATTATAGAAATGTTGTTACTGAAATGAAAAATAAAAATCCATGCTTAATTTAGAATCCCTATGATTTTTTTGGTCAGATGAATTCACACAGTTTTATTAATTTTTAGATCTTTCTTTACTGCTTTAATAAAACAGCTTAAGAATGAATCACACTCAAAATTTAAACCCCTCTGCAATATGCAATGACAAAATTTAAGAATACCAATGTTCCAAAAAGAAACAAGATGTGTTTGTGAAACACTATGTGCCCAGCGGTAACAAAGTTCAAAAAAAATATTTTTAGCATATAGGTCACAGTCAATGTCATAAGGTCATTGACCTTGGTGTCATTTGGAAGAGCTTAATTAGTGGAGTAAGCACACCAAATATGAAGTCTCTATCTCTCATGGTTCAAAAGTTAAGGTGAAGCTTTATGTTGACAACACTGAACAGATGGACAAACAGACAAACAGATAAACAGACAGACAGGACAAAAACAATAGATGTCCCCGATCTATTGATCCAAGCACATAAAAACTCAACCTGTTTCTATATATTGTAAAAATAAACACCTTATGAGCAAAAAAGATGAAGATAAGATTTTGACATTAGAACGTCTTACAGGAGAGTTAAAATGTTCATCATGACGTGTGGTACACGTAATGACCACATTAGATTGTGTTAAGTGGATAATTGCTGTTTTTACCTGGCAAACCTTTCCTTGTCAGCCTGCTCCTGATTGTACCCCCCACCTTGACCATCCTCCTCATCTGACCTAATAATAGAATCATGACCTACATAAATCATACAGTCAAATATACCCACTACATGATTAATTATCACTTCTTTTTGTGGGTAAGAATTGGCAATTAAGTATATGACTTGAGTAGAAAATATTGAGAAGAAAATATTTAATTTCTTGAACAATTCATTTAATCGTTTTTATTAAGTCTAACTATTTATCATGTTCATTCTAAAAAAAATGCCTCATGTATACAGATAACCGAGACTGGATGCGGATGATTCAAATATGTTTATAATTCAAAAAATTCTTTGTACAATAAAATAGACCCAAACTTTGATAATTTTATATCTAGTCTGGGCTGCCTATGAAGGGTTCCCAGATAAAACGTAAGGTTATCTCGTGTTACTTACTCCCTCCCAGATCCTCCCTTGCGTTTTCTATTCCCTCCTTTGGAATTATCAGGTGTCCCTAGAAAAAATACAGACACAATATTTATAAACAGAACTTAAACCATTCCATAAAGTTAACTCATCATCTTGAAGTTGTACAGAGTTTCTTGACAAAGATACTGCTTATCTCGGCCCATCTGCCTCATCTCTCAAGGCTTCTTTCAGTGGGTCTTGAGAACATGCAATTTATGAGAAGTGAAGTCATGAATGATGCTGTTTTTAAAAGGAATTTAGAGAATTTTTTATTCACTATTAATGAATTCTCTCACATTCATGTCCACCCTGTCACAAGATGGATGAAACCTAGAGAAGACATGAGCATGTTTCTGAATCCACTGAGCAAAGTTCTTGACCACTTGAATACATGATGTTGTGACAGCTAGTATGTATAAAACTGTTAACACACAGACCAAAAATTTGCAAAGAGTACAGTGGGGAAAAAAAAATCCATCTTCCCCACAACAAGTGAAAAGTTTAACATCTAACTACCTATTTAGTTAACTACCTATTTGAATCACAACCACAGAATCAAGCATACATGGTATCATAGGTATCTCCCAATGCTACATCTTTACAATAAAATGTCATCATTGTGCACGAGCTTTTATCAGATCTTTTGGGAATGTCAAACTGTACCTAGAAGCTCTCTAACATTGCTACGAGCCTTCAAAAACGAGAGACATGATATTTTGTCTTATGGCTTCCTTCTATGAAAAAGTCTATATTTTGACAGAAGTTTAATTTATGAAATTTTACTCCACACTGAATTCTTGCTTTGTCCGAAGCTAATCCTTCCTCTGAAGCTTTATAAAATCTTCTTCAGCTTCTTGACCTCGACCAGACAAAGATTTCACACTTGAGAAAGGCTTACCCTATAATTCAGTGACACTTGATATGTAGACTATTCAATTTTTATTTTATAGGATAGGCTTCTCTGAAGACATCAGTTTCATGCAATCATACAGGTGTCATGATTATCTTTTTATCATGTGAAAAACTACTTGCACTTTACTTAATTACCTTTTTTTTTTTACAAGCAGAAATATCATACTTTTCCAATAAGTCATTTGTTCTTTTTTTTTCAACTAAGATTATTGTGCTGTGGTTGGACTTTATGAGCATTTATGTTAAACAGAGTTAGAATGTCACAGTAATATCTTACTTAAATTCAGTCATACTTATTTATTTAGACTTGTTAAAGTTTATTCAAACTATTTTTGGAATAAATTGAATTTCAAATATATTTTTTTTTAGTTACTTATCTTGATCGTAAAATCATTCATCTACTGTAAATCACTTTTTATTCGCGAGAACTTTATTTTGGCGTAATTACGCGAGACAGTGTGCTCGCGAAAACTTAATTCTCGCGTAAAATAGCATTCCTTAAGATTATATAGAGCAATAACCACAGTTCGTGAAAATTTTGTCTCGCTAATCAAGAGTCAATGACTATCTCGCGAAAAAAAGGTGTCGCGAAAATTTAGTGATCTACAGTATTTAATCAAAAACTTTATGTAAGATTGTATTGATCTTCAAAGTTTTGACGACCCTTGTATCAAATCTTCTCTCAATCATACTTTTAGTGAAATCATATCAAAACTGAGCGAGAAATTGTTTTTCACAAAAATAAAATATATGATTCTATCTTCAGTAACCATGACAACACTATCCATTATAATTTAAAACTGCTAAATAAAATTAAGAATCTTGATGTAGTCTATGTAATTATATAACAAAGTCAGGGTAGTTCTGTAGGAGTAAGGGTATATAGTTCTGTAGGAGTAGCATTTGAAATGAATATTATTAACAATGAAATATAACTCTATTTCAATAATATTGATATTTCAGCATATTGCTATTCGTGGAGAAAATATATCGTATTGCAATATATTTTTCAATACAGATATACTGGAAAATTCTTACTAATAGGCTTGATGAATTTTAAGGGAAAATTTTGAACTTCAGATGTCAGAAGCATTATCAATTGTCACCAGCATTGGGCCAATTTCATTTGTCACTGATCGGCGTACGCCAAATTGCCCCGGTCATATGACTGGCGTAAAACAGCTGACAAGCAAATGAAGTAAACTGGTGAAAACATAAAAAATTGAATAATTACGTTAAATGATAATCAATTAATTAAGTTTTTCACTTTTTACATTATGTCTTAGTAGAATAATTCAAAATTCAATTTTAAAAGAAAACATGGACCTCATGAAAAATTTTATTTTTTTATGAGAAAATAAAAACATATTTCAAATATATGAATAAAGATTTGCTCAAAATATGCAAACAAATAAAGAACATGTCGATTTGGTAAAAAGTATCTGCATTTTCACATTTGTTTTCTCTTCCCACCATATTTCTAAGACCGGCAATTTCCTAGGAGGTCATTTCAGACCGGCGAGATCGGCGTACGCAGGCGAACCTTCCCAGGTCAAATGGAGTAACATGCCAGGTTACCAAAGGTCAAGCCGCGCATTCGGCGTATGCCGGTATGACAAATGAAATCCTACCACTATCAAATGTGCCAATTTAAACAGTAAAGTTGCTTTCATTGCAAAACTGTAGTGAAATCAACAAGAACTTAGTTGTTACAACATATTTATAATAGTTTTATACACTCTATTTATAAATGAAGAATAATAAGGTAAGAAAGATCATTTTGACTATTACTGAATAATTGCAATACAGTTAAAAATATTGCAATGTATCACAATACCAATTCTCGGCCAATACTCAGACCTAATTTCAAGTAACAATTTTTATACAACTTCAAGAATGGAAATGGGGTGGGGTTGGGTGAGAATGAACATTTTTTTGAAAAAAAAAAAGTCGAAAGTCACACAGATGGAAGATGGCTATCTCAACATAAACTCCTTCGGTATACTTCATCACTGAGCTATTACAATCAACAGTTTGTGTTTGTCAAAGGGTATATGGAAGTAATACCAGTATTTGTTTGAGAAGATATAGCAATTTTTGCATTATAAAACTGCTTTTTTTTTCAATTTTATGGCATGCTAAAAATTACCAAAAAATAAGTTAAAATATAACCACATGATAGCTGCCCAAATCAAGGACACTGCAATGCTGTGCATCCCCTTACAAAAGAGCATATACTGTATCTGAGACTGTAAATTAAAGCAGCATTTGACATTGATCTCAATGCAAATTATGACAATTCTTTTCCACACATTAAGAACAAACTCCTCTTACACACAAAAAGACAAACTAACACCCAACCCCAACCCCCAGCCCCCCACACACAAGCATGTCACTATATCCCTTCCAACTCTGTTGCAAGGGGACAATAAAATTTTAAAATCTGACCTAAAATCTTGTCTTTTCCCCCTTCCAATATACATGTTTTTCTTTGTTAAATCTTACCATAGATTGCCATTTCCGTATAGACAACAGGAATAGGCGCTATTCCTGAAAATGTATTAGACTGTGGACGCTGCCCCTGGGTAAAGTCATAAAGGTGCTTTGAAGGTCCTTGATATCGATAATTAGAGTAATCCATTTTTGTCTTCAAACTTGCCAGTCAAATTTCAAGTGCCAATGGAAATAAATCTTTATCACCAACAAACCTTACTGATAAATTTTTCTTCCTCTCAAATATTCCAAGTGGAGCCTAAATCACAGATGTAAATATTTTTCGGAAATAAAAACTAAGAAAAAAAAATCCTGAGATAAGAATATTTGTGCAATTTTTTCCAGAGTGCAGACAGTGGCGGTCTCCTTCAGTTTTTACATCTCGGTGTGGAAGCAGACGACACACCTGTTACGCCTGCTGAGGAGACTGATCAGTGATACAGGTAGACAGCTGTCATACAGATATATGTCACCAGCATAGGTAGGTCTTCACTTATTGGTGTATCACTTCAGCTCCACTCCAAATTATTGGTTTTCAATTTCAGTCTACTAATTTGCAGCGTTCACAACTTTAATGGTGAACATTCAACACATCCTGAGAGTATGCACAACTGATGAAGTATACTAACGCAAATTATAAAAAAAACATTTTGCTTTCTAACTTCTTGGTGAAATTTGCTTCTAACTCTTTTTCATGAAACATTATCAATGTCTCAGGCATGCTGATTTGTTAAATGTCAGTGTTTTCATTAATTTTATATCTGTACAAACCAAATATAATACAGCTATTAGATGACTGCCTCTTGTTACTTGATTTAGTAAAATATTCAGTGAAAACTTTGTTATCAAAATGGCCCAGAATGACATTGTTTTCCATAAACTGCCTTGTGACCTTCTTTAATTATTTCTGCCACCCAGGAGTCTGAACTTAAGTCACGAATTCTGGTGAACTAGGTATAACTGCACTCCTACACACGTCACACTTCAGCGATCCAAGTACGTGTAGGACTACAGACATCAACAGGTCGTGTCACTAACAGAAAATCATATTATAACTCTAGCTACTCCTTTGCTCCTTTTGTATATAATTTTTATGTATCATGTGAAAATAAATGTAAATGTAGTAGACAATACCTTCTAAACAAAAGATAAAACCAATATAATGTCACAAAATATACCTTTTCATTAACCAGTATTCATTTAACATATGCCATTTTTTTGTTATAATAGCTGCCATCTTTTATGTAGATATTTTTTTTTATTATTACGGGAATGTCTTCCTATGGAACACTTCACAAGCTTTTATCCACCACCCAAACAAACCTTCTAACTGTAGGAACCTGGATAATTTCATGATTATCTGCTATATCCTGTTTCAGTAATTGATCACTAAGCTGAACACTTCTTTGATCACTGGGGGCTATGTCTGTGTATTGGAGTTCTCACCTGTTATCAGGTGAGACATGACAAAACGGACTCATTTGTCATGAATTGCTATTTATAGTTCTCAAGGTGCATAATAATTAGCTGTCACTTTATCATATTACAAATATTTGAAATTAATTTCACTTTTAATTAGAAAAAAAAATTCCCACCAAATTACATTTTGAAGGTCATATCAAAAGATTCGATATAAAGGTTACTCCAGAAAAACAAAAACAACAACTTTGACCAAAATAGCAGGGCACCTTCAGGTGGTCTATGGAGTATGGACCATGATGCTTGCCTGAATTACTGTTTTCTCGTGACAAAATGTGTAGATAAATAAAGAAATTTTACCGAGGCCCTATAGGCTTAAGACCACAGTCTCAGAAGTAATAATCTTCAATGCATCGACACTTTTCATAAAATTTAGTATGAGGACAATGAAACAATACTCAAAGTCCAATTCCAGGGACATACTTTAAATTTATTATACGATATTTGGCTTGTACAATATTTGGCGGAAATAAATTTTTCAACAAGTTAGCATAAATTCGATTTAGCGCCATCTGAATGTGGTAGATATAACAAATGATATGTGACGACATTTCGCGGTGTATTTGATTTCACGGATTCTGCTTTCAGCCAAAATCGTTAAATAGAATACACCGCCAAATAAAGTACGTTAACAGTAATATTGGTTCACAATTTTATGAGGGAATACATTAAAGAACAAGAGGCCCAGGGGCCACAGCGCTCACCTGAGCACACCGGCTAGGAAAAAGCAAATATCAGATCAGAAATGAAAGTTTACTGAGGTTGGAGGGGGGTAGGTTAAATTATACCCCCCAGGGGGTCATGATTTGAAGAAACTAGAATCTACACTACCTGAGGATGATTTCATATAAAATTTAATATCACTAATCATGGCTTTGAAGTACTTGAAAAGGAGATTTTAAAAGATTTCCCTATATATTCTTATGAAAAACTTTGATCGACCATTCTGGCCCCACCCTACCCTGGGGGTCATAATTTGAACAATCTTTAATCTACACTACCTGAGGATGATTCCACATTAGTTTCTTCTTTCCTGGCCGAGTGGTTCTTGAGAAGAAGATTTTAAAAGATTTTTTTCTATATATTCCTATGTAAAACTTTGATCAGCCATTTTGGCCCCATCCTACCCCCGGGGTCCTGATTTGAACAAACTTAGATCTACACTACCTGAGGATGATTCCACATAAGTTTCATCTTTCCTGGCTCAGTGGTTCTTGAGAAGAAGATTTTTTAACAAGAGGCCCAAGGGCCTTGAATCGCTCTTCTGATAAATTGTACAATCTATCACTTCTATTAGAAGCCTCCAACTCTATTAGTATCATAAGACCCAAAATGCATCAACTTACAAAGTTTGATAATATTTAGCCAGTTAAGACTGAAGATATTATAAAAGAATTATAAAATACCATAAGTAGGTCACAGTGACCTACCTTTTGATTGAAATTTTCTGAGGACTCATGATACATAAATTGACAAAGACTGATGATTCTAATTAAATAAGTACCGGAGATATTCAAAAGTAGGTCATCATGACCTACTTTTTGGTCAACATTCTCTGAAAACCCAAGATGCATCATCTGACAAAGTTTGATGATTCTAAGCCAATTAGTAACATAGTCATCAAATGTCAAAAGTAGGTCACGGTGACCTACATTTTGGTCGACGTTATCCAAAAACCCAAGATGCCTAAACTGTCAAAGTTTGACGATTCCAAGCCAATAAGTACCTGAGATATTCAAAAGTAGGTCACTGTGACCTACTTCTTGTTGGACATTCAATGAAACTGTAAGATGCCTCAACTGACAAAGTTTGATGATTCCAAGCCAATAAGTACCAGATATAATCAAATATAGCCATAAAATGTCAAAAGTAGGTCACAGTGAACTACTTTTTGGTCGACGTTCTCCGAAAACCCAAGATGCCTAAACTGACAAAGTTTGATGATTCTAAGCTAATACATACCTGAGATATTCAAAAGTAGGTCACCGTGACCTACTTTTTGGTCGACATTCTCCGAAAACCCAAGATGCCTCAACTGACAAAGTTTGATGATTCCGAGCCAATAAGTGCCTGAGTTCCTTAAATATAGCCTTAAAATGTCAAAAGTAGGTCACTGTGACCTACTTTTTGGTCGACAATCTCCGAAAACCCAAGATGCATTAACTGACAAAGTTTGATGATTTTAGGTCAATAAGTACAAGAAATACTTAATTATAGCCACAAAATGTCAAAAGTAGGTCACCATGACCCACTTTTTAATCTTCACTCTCCGAAAACCCAAGATGCATCTACTCACAAAGTTTGATGACAAGCCAAAAGTACTTACTTAAATAAAGCCATAAAATGTCAAAAGTAGGTCACCATGACCTACTTTTTGGTCATCATTCTCTGAAAACCCAAGATGCATCAACTCACTAAGTTTGATGATTCTAAGCCAATAAATACCTAAGATACTTAAATAAAGCCATAAAATGTCAAAAGTAGGTCACCATGACCTACTTTTTGGTCGTCACTCTCCGAAAACCAAATATGCATCCACTCACAAAGTTTGATGATTCTAAGCCAATAAATCCCTAAGATACTTAAATATAGCCATAAAATGTAGAAAGTAGGTCATTGTGACCTACATTTTGGTCTAATTTTTCAAAGACCCAAGATGCATCTACTGACCAAGTTTGATGATCGTAAGTCTGAAGGTAATCATACTATGCGTTTTAAACAATTTGAAAACAAATGTCGGCAAAATTCAAAAAGTAGGTCACAGTGACCTACTTTTTTCATAAATATGTTTTAAGGTCCCAAGATGCATCAAAGTACAAGATTTGATGATTCTAAACCTCCCAGTGTCTGAAATAATGGGATTTAAGGTTTTTAAAAGGATAAGTCATAAAGTTCAAAAAGTAGGTCATGGTGACCTACTTTTAAGTTGACATTGTTCGAAGACCCAAGATGAACTGACAAAGTTTGATGATCATAGGCCTTAAAGTGTCCAAAATATGCCTTCAAATCAATTTGAAAACAAATCCCCGCAAAATTTAAAAAGTAGGTCACCGTGACCTACTTTTGAGTTAACATGATGTGAAGTTGTATGATGCATCAACTTACACGATTTGATGATCCTAGTCCTTATAGTAAGCAAAATATACATGTTTTTATTAATTGTAAATTTAGGTCAACTTTAAAGTGACCATGAGACCATGCCCTTTGCCCCAGGGTAATTCCCCGTGCAAGTTTTAATCTTCGACATATCCTGATCCTTGTATGTAAGTTTGGTGAAAATCTGCCTGGTGGTTATGGAGAAGAAGGTTTTTTAGCAACCAGTACTTTTGGTTTTGTTTTCCTGATTATCTCCCCTTGTTTAAGGGTCCTAACCCTTATTTTAGTATAAATGGTAGCCCTTGGGCCAAGGATACCCTGTGACAAATTTGGTACTGATTGGCCAAGGGGTTCTTGAGTTATGGCCCATATTCTAAAAAGTTTACGCACACCGCACAAATGGCCATAGCATTAGCTCTTTGAGCCTTTGGCTCAGAAGAGCTAATTAACGAGGAATGTGTAACTGTTATCCACTTGGAACTCAATATAATAAGTTTGAATATCACCCTAACTCTGTCACTTTCAGGAAATTCTGCATAATTTTTGTATGCTGAAAATCTACTATCAAATACC